GGGGGAGGAAGGAGGGGCAGCCCCTCCGCGGGCAGGGTCAGCGTCGGTCCCAGCCCTCTTCTTCCCGAAGCCTGCTGCACTCACGCCCCCAAACCGGGAGAGGGGCTGCGGCGTCCTCGCGGCTGCAGCAGTCCAGGAGCACCGTGCCCAGCCGAAATGCTGGGCCCTTTCAGCCTGAGAGGGGAGGTGCCGTCTTTGTGCTGGTTTCTATGAGCCGGCTCATGTAGGACCAGAGGCAATCACGTTTATAAACGTTTTAGAAGGAAGCAAATTGTTATTATTATTATTTTCAAATTTTGATTATTTGTGTCCATTTGGAAATAGAGATGAGATTAGGGAGGACTCCAGAGGGAAGGAAGGTTGCTTCAAGTCAGCCCCAGGCCACAAAAAGGCACGGCAGTAACCCAAAACTAACCACCATAGGTTTTATTTGAGGTATGTATGATCAGATATTAATTGGGATGATCAAGTGTCAGTGGCATACAGTCATTTTGTTAGCGTATGGGAGCAAAAATGCATCTAATGCAAAGATTGCAATATAAATTGCTTTCAGCTAAATTCCTTGTTAATAGTTAAAATAACTTTTTCGGTGGTAGGAAAACAAATTGCACATCATGCCACACCATAAAAGCTAAATTCCTGCATAAAAGTATCGAGAGAGTTTGAGAATGTTTTTAAGGTTTTGTAATTTCATTGGCTGTAGGAATACTTGTGTCTTTACACGTTTGCTGCTGCAGGACACCTCAGTCAGAAATTCTAATACTTTATGGAAAGAAAAGTTCGCTTTTATTTTAAAATAATAATGAGGCATAAACTGGTCTAGAAAAGAAAACAAGAATGCTAGTGCTTTTTCACGCTTCGTATTAAAGGACTGCAAAAATATAGTCTGTATAATATTTTGTTTATTAAATTGGTACTGGTGGAGTGATAGACTCGTCGCACAGATGGGCCTAGTGCAGTTTTCTCAACCTCATTATGTCAGTACCGCATGTTCTGATCTCTGCTATTTTGATGTTGAGTCTTTTTTTTTTTTTTCCCTAAGCAGGCCTTTGCCAGTATGCAGCTTTTTGTGCTGCATGTGAATAAACTCAGATGAGGAGGAGTTAAGTAAATAATTATTTGAATAATGAGGTAAAAAGCTAGTACGCTAATCCGTGTGGTATCCTAATACATCACAATAAGACTAGGCGTTACAGTAGTGTGTCTTTTATATGGCCACACTTTTTGCCCCACCCTGTAATATAAATACTCTCAGTTTATTATTAACTAAAGCGATTTACCTGTGATATGAATATATTCATTTGGCATGAACTTTATGCCTGGGGGAAGATTTTTTGGGATAACTCACTATTTCCACCTGGACTATAGCCAAAACCAATTCTGCTAGTTGGGACAAAAAGGTGTTACCATGTAAGTATCTTGTACTTTGCAACTTCGTGCTTGTCTCCACCTGCAGCTGTCCTGTGTGAAGTGCCATAGGTATGTAGCAGTGCAGTGCTTTTCAGCCTGTGGTCCCTCGTTTAAATGACATTAAGAACAAAGCTACTGAAAATAAATTTAAGTTGTCCCTACAATATCAGTATCCCTAAAAAAAAACACGCTATTGTTACTTGTCATAGAAAATTGCGTAATTGTGTGGGGAGATTGAAAGCCGTTGAATGTCATTTTATTCAAAAATTATTTTGGTCAGTTTTAGGAAGCAATAAGTAATGATGGCAGAAGATGGCCAGAGCAGGTTTAGGCATGGCTTTATAGAATGTTAATTTTATCTGAACATTTGCATAAAGATTTGAGCTGAAGGCCATGGCATACAGTTGATCAGTAGATGCAGAGGAGGCTAAAGTTATGTGCTGCACAAGGTCAGCAAGAGTATCACAACTATGAAGTCATTTTCCTTTTTCCCCCATTATGTTTGCAGTCTATTTTATTGAACTCATTGTTATACCCAAGCTTTTGACAGTTGTGGAAGATTTCGCTGTTCAGATCTTACCAGACACGTTCATTTTCTAAGCAGCAATGCGTGGTAGCCTTTGAGGGAACTAAAATAGAGATACACAACTAATGAAGTCAGATGCATACTATGATAAAGCAAGGAAGGTTACTCACACCATTTAAAGAGAGTTGATTCCTTTCCTATAAAGAGTATCTATTGGGAACAATGTCTACTAGACAGTGAATGCCATCAGCATCAGTCAGATACTTGTGTCAGCATGTGTGTACCTGAATTATGGAGAAGGATTTTCCTTTGGTTTAGAAATAGTATCTCCAAAGCTCTTACTCTCTGTAATTATAGAACTGTAATTTGAAATACCACTTACCTCATGTGACTGTTTAATTTTGTAATGAATTGCCCATCCAGAAATCAAATAAGGTATGTTCACGTATTCATGGAAGATTGAACTACAAAGTCTGTACCAGTCTGCTGCTTTCCTGTTATGATTTGAATGGGCTTACAAAATTTGTGGCTGAGAATTGTGATTGCATCCCATTTCACCAAATCTAGTTTTACATTTGTTTCTCACGGTGAAACATGCAGGTCTATTAACCTGCATCTCTACTTGACTCATTAGGGACCAATATGTCAAACCAGTAACAACACTGCTTTCTCACCAATTTTTTTGCATAGTGGAAGCATTTGTCTGATAGATTCTAATGCTTACTATAAAGAGAAAAACAGTACACACAAATCAATGACTTAATTAGCATCAGAAGAACAGGTCATTGAGAGCAGCAGACTTCAGGCCAACATAGGCTTATTAGTATTGTCTCGTCAGTTCAATACGTTATGTAAGCCAGATTTTTTTTCAGTGTCAGTTTTCATTTGATTTCTGCAGACTTTAAACACAGTTACTTCTGATCTTCTGGCCTTGTCCTGAACAGCTCATTGAGATTGGAAACAATAAAGGCTATGAAGCAGATGTAGTAACTGCTGAGCAGTAAGATTTAGTTCTCAAGCTCCCGCAGTCTTCTGAAGAATGTTATCTGTATGTTTTACTCCTCAGCTGTTACTGAGCTGTAAACCTCCTGCTCTGTGTGTCCATCCACTCTTGAAAGACCTGTGGGTGTGCTGACTTCAGGTGCTGTTCTCAGGATGGCCACACCATCCCCTTCTTACTGCATCTTCCCCTAAAAGTAGCAAGGCAGTTAAAAACTAATGTGTTTTACAGGTTCTGACCTTTGATGCTTTATAATATGTTTCAGAGTCTTGTCTACGCAGGCGTAAAGCTTTTCTGGGGGCGGGAAGTAAGCACTTAAAACTTTTAGTACCTGTATACATGCTACTCTGCATTGGTAAGCAAGATTGAAAGAATTTAGGCTGTGAGTGTGGGATTTAGGATGATTCAAATTTCTGGCAGCTGGCACTATTGGCTGCCACTGCTGGCTGGTGGTTGGCATTTTTTTCTGTAA